AACCTCCATAATTGAAATATCAGACCCCGAGTGAATCTTCCTAGTACGGTCACGTCGAAAATATTTAGATGTATCGTGTAGTGTCGTTTGTGGTTTAGGATCTTGCGTCGTTGAAGTAGAAGGTATATGCGGGTGACAGGACCCCCCCTGCCCCGCGTCTTGATTTCCCTCCTTGATAGGTCCACTAGTATCAGAGCTGGTCTCCGACGCTTGTGATGACGCATCCCAATCATGAATGGACTGATCCGACGAAAAACGTTGCTTCCTTTTTTTAGATTTTCTTTTATTTTTTTTGGAACTCTTCAAATGTTCGTTAGAAAAAAGTGTATTATTTTCATCTTGAGTTATCTTAGACACGACGGATGCATATGAATTCTTATTACGTGGGTCAGTAGGAAAGGTAGTGTTCTGCATTGTATAAGTGATATTCTCACTCGTTTCTCTGTGAACAGCTGGTGAAAAAGGTGGTACGTACATCAATGAAGCCTTGCGGTACGTACAGTTAAATTCCGACATGATTTCTCTTATTCTTCTTTCCTTCAAATATATTGGGCAGGTCTTAGCTAGGGCCATATGGTTACCTTTACAATTTATACATTTGAAGGAATTGGTCTCGCAATTAGGGTGATGTTTCCCACATTTAGGGCAGAATATTTTTGTAGAAGGACAATATTTGGCACTATGACCAAAACGCCAGCAATTTGAGCATTGTGTTACGGGGAAAATATATGCTTCGACTTTTACCCTTGTATTGAATAAATATACATATTCCGGAAGTGAGTTACCCTTGAAGCTGAGGCGAATGGTTTCACTGTCTATCCATCCTGGCGAAGCCGGGTTCCGTTTATTCAATCGTTTGATCGCTACTATTTCGCAATTATTGCTGGTCCTAATGTTTTCCATAAGGTCATCCTCAGATATGCCTATTTCCATGTTTTTGACAATTCCATAAGAGATATTTACTTCCCATGAATTTTGAATCCTCCAGCCTTGTTCTTGAATTTCAGGACATGCCGCGAATTTTTCGGAAAAAGCTATGTCCTCAAATGCTAGAAGGACTTTAAAAGCATTAATATATTTCACACGAGTTATACCACCAATATTAAGTCGATGAAATAATTTGGCCAATGCGAATTGTTTTGGTAGCTGATTTTTGCTCGAGATGCAAACATCAACGGAGTTCGGTTTCCAGCGTTTTGCCTTGGACCTCTTTACTACTGTCCAATCTTCTTCATTCTCTTCATTTTGTCTAATATTGTACTCAGTCTCCATCAAGTCTTCTTCTTCTACTTCTCCAGATTTATTGTGCTGTTCATCAATACTTTCTTCGTCTTCATTCCTTCTTGATTGTATTCGTTCATCTTCCATATTTTGTCTACTCATATTAGCTTCCATCTTGTTGCTCTCAACAGTCTCGTTTGCTTTTTCACTCATAGTGCACTAGGATTATAGTCGTACACCTCATTGACCAGAATACGGACGGACTGCGCCCGAGCGCAGTCCCGATTTAGTCAATAATCCCGTCCTCGATTGAAGGTAACCCAAAACAATATTTGAATAAAACAAAAACCAAATTATAGACACGTGCGCAATCACTCGCGTATTCAGATAGATATACGTTATACGTCCAAATACCCGTCCGCTCTGTTCGGCTGCCGGCGGGCGACTGCGAAAAAACATGATGCAGATCAGAATACCAGTAACGGTATCTGAGATCACGGGTCGGAAATTCATCGGGAACAGACAGATGCCGATCCATGTGCTTGGTACGCTACGGTTGATATGTACCTCGATGAACGTCTACTGAATGGTGCATAGCTCATTGAAGTCTTCAGTGGGGCCCTGAAAGGCGGTGCCTTATCATGTTGTCGCGGATTTCACAAGTAAGTGTCACATGGAGGCATTTGCGACTTATTTCTCGCTCGTTATGCAAAATATCTTGCTGCGACGCTTATCAATTTAAGCAATGGTAAGCCACAAAAGCGTGAATGCAGCATACGCAAGTCGTATAATAACGTCTGCTACCTCGATGGAAGATCTGAGCCACGAAGAAATCGTCACATCTTACGTTCTGTATCTGTATTTAATTATTTTAAATGATGAAATGTCGTTTTGATAAATATCACAAAATGAAGGGTAGACTCCGTAACGCCACAGTATAAAATGGCGGTACGTGGACAGAGTCGTGGCATTCCGTGTCAGACAGTAATTCCGTCTGTCTCAGTCAGTGAGTCTCTGGCAGTCAGTCAGTCAGTCAGTCAGTCGGTCTGTCGGTATGTGCAACGAAACTGTCGGTTTATCCTGTTATTGTGAAAGTTGTGTGTGTTGAGTTTCAATAATTATTATTCAAAAGGTTTTATTGACTTTTTATATACTGAGTTCAACCAAATACGAGTGATGACGGAAACTAGCGCTCAGCCATCCGTGACGTGTGCCAACAGATTTATGTTATAATTGACTTGAGTACGCCGGCATTTAACTTACGACCAGCGGTCACTAATAATAACCTATACATACATAATATGTATATGCATTTGTTGCATTCTTCGTAGTAATTCTTTTTACATAAAACTAATACAATAATGACATTTTAATATTGTTACGCCCTGGGGTTCGGGATAAATAAAAATTCTACCAAAGTATAATTTTAAACTGTATTAATACTTAGAACACTTAACGAAGACTTTTACCATGGGACAATGATTTCAGAAGTAGCGCATTAACATCAACCCCATAAAAAACACAGCGGTGTTCTTCAAAAAGGGTCGCCCTCCGAATACCACTTCGAGCAGCCCACTCCCTAATAGGCGCGTTATCACCTCCGCCATTCGCCCATTACTCTCTTTGGCCAGCCCATACCAGGCCCAGCCCATATACATTGCGAAGATTTCCTACGAACAACCTCTTTATAACGAATTTTCAATTATAAAAAAGTGTAAATACCTCTAATTAACAAATTTTGTCAAACCCAAAACCTTTATATAACGTTCCCACCAATATGAACCTTAATCCCATAGTATGTGAATCATTCCGATAGAAACACCCGTCACGTGCCGACGTGCTCATCGACCACTCAATCGCCCGGCCTTTATTCGTGGCACATCTGCCGACAAGTAATTGCGCTGCATCGCCACCTGTGTTCAATCGAACCGCTAAGTTCCAAAAAGTTGGGACATCGCCGCATGGCGAGTTTGTTTAAGACCCGGGGCAGCCCCACCTGGGCACTCAGTCATCATGGACGCTATATTTGCGGAATCCCTGAGGCTTCGCCACCCAAAACTCACTTCCGAGTCTCTGGCCTTCAAGGCCGTTCACGCCGCGAGCCCTCTCGCATAATTCGTCAAGCTCGTCGCTCCCGCATCGCCTGTACCCGCGTGCAAAACTTCTGTAACGACTAGTGCGGCCTTAGTCGTGCCTGGCGGCCGCATCGCCTATACTTGCGCGTAAAACTCCTGCGTCGTCCCCCGTGGCCGCCGTTTCGACCGCGTGATCATCTGCGGCCTCCGTCACGCCCGACGCTCTCGCACCATCTAAAGCACCAGCATCTGTCCGTAGGTTGCCTGCGCCTGCCTCCTCGTCTTCAGACTCTGAATCGGACATGGAGGTCGACATCGTCTGCGTCTTATTGACAGAAAAATTCACCCTCGTACGAAAGGGTAAATCATCCGAGAACCATAGGGCCCTCACCTCTTAACTTCATAAGGATAATATAAGCTTCCACACTTATACGCTCCAGAAGGAGCGTGAACCCCGCGTTGTAATACGCGCAATCCCTAAAGAGTTAGATGTAGAGCTCTTCAAGGCCTACCAGTGAATTCCGGGCGCCGTATGCACACCGGTCGCGGTAGCGAGCCATATAATGTGGTTCTAGTCGCCCTCCAGCTTACCTCCTTTTTCGGGCCGAGGGCCGAACCTCCTACGAGGTCCCCGCGCATAAGGGGCGCGCGGGGTATAGGGTAAGAAAATCTTCAAGACACAGACTGTCTGTTGGCCTCGTCAGTATCGCCGTCGAAGCCCCCTGTAAAAAAGATACTCCTAGCCAGTGCCATAACTGCCAACTGTACGGGCACTCTTCCCGTAACTGTCACGCGCGCCCCCGATGTGTTAAGTGTTGGGTGATCACGCCACGGTCCCCTGCGCTCGCGACCAGAAAACCGCCACCGAACCGCCTAGCTGCGTCCTGTGCCGAACACAGGGTCACCTTGTGAACTACAGTGGATGCCCCCTAGCTCCAAAAATTAATCGCCGCGTCGCCCGCCAAAACCGCCTCCGAGCTTCCGGCCCTGACATCAAAGCCTCAGCACCATCTGTGCCGAAGGCTAAACCTGTGGCGCCCAGCGTCTCGGCCTGCCGTACACGAACACGGCGGTAACTCCCTCTCCCGCGATCCGTCCCTCCTCGGCGACTCGTTCCTTTACCGCGGTATAGAAAGAATCGGGCGTCATCGGCATACATAAACCCGGTTAACCCAAAAATCATCCGACGAGTTAACGCCCGATTAGCCTCTTCATGTCTCTAGACAAGCTGTATGACCGACTGCTCTACAAACGCCTCAGAGAATTCGTCTCATCCAAGAGCATTCTCATCGATGAACAATTCGGATTCTGCGCAAATCACTCATGCGTACAACAGGTGCACTGCCTCACGGAGTACATTTTCGTAGGGCTGAACCGACCGAAACTGTTATACACGGGAGAACTTTTCTTCGACGTCGCAAAAAATTTCGACAAAGTCTGGCACAACGGTTTGATTTTCAAGCTTTTCGACATGGGCGTGCCGGACAGTCTCGTGCTCACCATACGAAGCTCCTTGTCGAACCGCCTTCGAAGCGAATGTTTTCAATTCATTAAAATAATTCGTAAGATGCTCGTATCAAGCTCCGATATAGTCGTATGATCAATGTTGTTAATCAAATTACGCCGGAAAATGCTATTTTTAAAAAGTGTATAAACAATCATAGAATGGTTATAAGCCGTGGTATAAAAATGAAACCTCCAAAATAAATACATAGCTGCATGTTTATTGGTGTATTCTAAACAAAGAAACCGGTTAACCTCACATCGCTATAGAACAAATTCTTCACCTTTAAACATTACTTTTTACTCTTTAGTTCACCTACAAAATAACTAATATATATTTCTCTTTGTTTTTAGTCGTGATATCAACTTAAATGAATTACACCGTAGTTCATAAATATTCGTTTTTTTTTGAAATTTGACTGTCTTCAACATTGTTCAAATTATTATTTCTTTAAAATTCTAAAATTTCATAATTAATTGTAGTTTTTTTTTTTTGTTTTGGGTAATTTTAATTTTATTATTAAACGAACAATACTCTCTTGCTGATCCTGCCAGTAGTTAGTTACATCCTTGTGAATTCTTGTTCAATTTTGTCATTACAGCAGTTATGCTCAACGTTATCCGGGTCTTATCATTTACCATTATAGTTAAATCTTATTCTACGCATTAATCCAAAATCTCATGTGTAAAATTTCATCCAAATCCGTGTGTTTGACTTACAAACGCACAAAATTTCAACATTAATAATATTAAGTTTAGGGAGAAACTAATTGTTAATTTCATATTAAAAATAATTTGAGAACAAATAAAATAAAAAACAAAATAAATTTGCAGATCGAAATTATACACAGATATTAATCAATCATAGAAGATCAATTTTCGTATTTATTCTATGAAAGTATGTAATACTTTCGCCTAGAAATAGTTTAAAAAAACAATTCAAGAAATAGATTACAGTGGTCGCGACGGCCCGGCGATAGGTCATTGATATGTAATCGCATTAATTGTAATGTGTGATGTAATTTTATATAAACATTTCCAAAAATAAATAGTTGATAGAAGATTTAACGTGTGAAAATACGTTGCTCCCAGCCGTCTCGTGGTGTGGCCTTCAGGAATAATCCGGTACTCGGCTGTGTTAGCAACGTTGTGGATTTAAAAGCTACCGTCCTTGGCATACCGTCCGCCAGTTCGAAGTTGTACTTTTTCAAACAGGTAACCAGCCCAGCGATAGTCTGCATTTTCCCGAAACGCATACCTGAAAACAAATAGTGTAGTGTTCCCTTCGATTAATGCGACCACGACCACATACGCTGTTAAGTATTAGAAATGTCAAAACTCCGAAAATATTGCTCGGAAAACATCTGATAGAAAGACTATTCGTGACAGGGAAGATAGAGGCAAAAAGACCGCGCGGGCGCAGTCCGACAAGGTGGTTCGATAAAAACCGCACCGCACTAGAGATCCCATTCGGAGGCGCTGGAGAGACATTACAAGGAAAAAGAAATTATGTGGTGTCGTGGGACACCAGGTAGGAACGAAGTTCCTTCGGCTAATGTAGAATCGACACAAATTGCAAAAAAAATCGTGCTCAATTATATGTAGGTTTTCTTGATTTTTCTCTTAAATTTTGCTGATTAGTTTTTATTTAAGTACAAGAAAGTATTTAGGAAATTCAGTATTTTAGGAAATAATAAATTACTTAAAATTAAAAAACCTCGTAATTCAAATTATCAACTAAAATAACAAAATATGTCTCTTTATTTTTGTTTGACAACATAAAATTACATAGAAATAGAAAAATAGAAATAATAATAGAAAGAGAATGGATGAGAGAACGAAAAGAAAGAGGGAGAAAGAGAAAGGTATTATACACTACTGGCTTGTGTATGCGACTGTCGCGCCTGCGCACGTCTCATTTAACGGTTTTATTCCACGCACTTTTTTCCACGGATTTTTTCTTACGGTTTTACAATCACATTTTTTTCAGTTCGGTCGCGCAGCAAAATCCCTATCCCCTCCAAGCCTGCCGTAAGAAACTTCGTTCCAATAAAATCCTGTTGAAACATGTTGGTCACGACCCTCAGCAGTGAGGAAACGACGCGAGGAGGAGAATAGAAAGATCCCTAACACAAGCATTTACTTTACGATTTAAGGAGTTAGCAAGAAGGGATGAAGGTAATACCAGATACAGTACGGTTTATTTTGATAAATTCAGATTATTGTTATGGCAAAAATATTACCACATATTTATCTTTAAACATGGCCGCCGTATCTTTTTCAGAATATTCCCAAATGAAAACGGTTGTCTATTGCACCTAAATATTGTACGAATTATATTTGTAGATACTGTTTATCAATATTATATTATGTTTCAGTATTTAATTAAGTATACTCTCCCTCTATTTCTAAACATAGATTTAGTCTTACCAATACAGATCCTGGGCCCTTCTCCGAACGGGAAGAACGTGAACTGCTTAATGTCGTTTTTGGCGTCTCCTAGATGTCTCTCAGGACGGAACTCTTCCGGGTCAGGAAAGTTGTCGGGGTTACGGTGGATAGCGTACACCGGGACATGCACACGCATACCCTTTTCTATCCTCAGGCCATCAGGAAACGTATAGTCGGCAACGGTTTCGCGGGTGAGACTAGGAAGTACTGGGTACAGACGCATCGCTTCGTTCATACATGCCTCCAAGTACGGTAATTCCGCTAAACAATCATAACTTAACTTGTTGTTGTGTTTCAGCAAAAGTTCGTCGACTTCCTCTTGAGCGCGCCTTTGGGCTTCTGGGTTCTTGGCCAGCTCGTATAGGGCTGCCGAGAGAGTGCTAGCTGACGTGTCGAAGCCTGCAGCAAAGAAGACTGCGCACTGCGCTATCAATAAGGCATCGTCAACCTTGACCGTCACTTTCTTTGCGTTGACGTTTTTGGGAACCAAGCCATCACCGGTCAGGTAATCGTTTTGTTTCAGACTCAAAATTAAGTCCACGAAATCGTTTCGGTTCGTTGGCTTGTAGCCACGGTTCTCGAACACCTCAGTCAGGAGTGTCTCAAAGAAATCGTCAATTTCCGTTGGAAAGCACCGGAAACCAAGCTTATAGAATATGCCCGGCCACATCGAACGACCAATCAATTTCAGTCCTCGAGTTATCGAAGAACTAAATATAGTGCTTCCCATGCTTGGAAAAGGACTATTTTCTGCGCCCTCACTCAAGGTATTTGTTTCGATACCGAAGGCGCTAGAGCAGATAGAGTCCAGTGTGTACCTTATCATAGCAGACCGGATCTCGATAGTCTGCAAGTCTTTGGTTTCCTTGTCCAGCATGTCTTCAAGGGAATGGTTGCATTTTTCCACCAAGTAAAACATATTCTTCATCTTTGACGATGAGAACAGCGGGGTTAGGTTCTGACGTATTACCTTCCATCTATCTCCATTGGCGAAGAACAAGTTCTGTGTGAATACTTCCTTATGATTGTAATCCCTGTTTTCGCGGCTGTTGAAGTAATAGAAGTCTTTAGTAAAAACTTGCTTGATGATCTCCGGATTCTGCAAGACTAGGGCTGGTTCCGTGCCGTAAAACGATCCGAAGTACGGTCTGTCAGGGAACTGCTGGCACAGCTTCTGCATCACATCTCCTAGGAAGCTCTGCAGTGTGATATATCGCATGTAGTTCCCAAAGAACGGCACAGGTTTAGCGTATGGCACATTTTTTCGCTTCCAATAATCGAATTTCCGGGTCGACCAATAGTAAATATACGTCACTAATAAAACGAAGGCGGAAAATACTAATGCGCTCACTGACATGTTGAGACTGTTCTATTTTAAGTCAACGCCAACAATTCTATTTAAATGGCAAGCTCGTATGTATGTAATATGTACATATAATCGCGCAAATGTAACAGTGTTGTGACCACGATAACATTGTTCGGAACTGATATTATTTATAAATAATTGGACGAGAAATTATTACGATATACGACCGAAGAAGACATGGATGGAATGTGTGAATGCCGATATGAGAGAGAGAGGATTGAGTGTTGAGATGACGGCTGATAGAAGAGAACAGAATAGAAAATATATCTGTGCCGCCCCCACCTAGTTGGAAAAGGTGGATACAAAGAAGAAGAAGAAGGTACTTAAAATGTAATTAGATGCAATCAAACGATGTCGTTGTGTCATAATGGGCTTGATTACTAAGTTGTTACGTCATATAATTAAAATTACTTTTACTTTGGTTAAGTTAGAATTAAAATGGTTTTTACTCACCCTAGTCGTCCGTCCGTCCCCACTCCTGGAAATTGAAGTAAATACTGTTGTGCCTGTACGAGTAACGCCATCTGTCGTCGAAGTCGTCGTGGCCTAGCGGATAAGACGTCCGGTGCATTCGTGTTGAGCGATGCACCGGTGTTCGAATCCCGCAGGCGGGTACCAATTTTTCTAATGAAATACGTACTCAACAAATGTTCACCATCGATTTCCACGGTGAAGGAATAGCATCGTGTTATAAAAGTGAAACCCGCAAAATTATAATTTGCGTAATTACTGGTGGTAGGACCTCTTGTGAGTCCGCGCGGGTGGGTACCACCACCCTGCCTATTTCTGCCGTGAAGCAGTAATGCGTTTCAGTTTGAAGGGTGGGGCAGCCGTTGTAACTATACTTGAGACCTTAGAACTTATATCTCAAGATGGGTGGCGCATTTACGTTGTGGATGTCTATGGGCTCCAGTAACCACTTAACACCAGGTGGGCTGTGAGCTCGTCCACCCACCTAAGCAATAAATAAAAAATAAAAAAAAAGAATAGCCGAAATGGACATCAAAACAACTTGTATTATCGGGAGCGTTTGAGAAGTGCAATGTCATTGTGAAACAGCGAAAACGGATATCAGGACGACTATGAGAAATGTTCTTCTAGATCGGATCGGAGACGGTTCTAGAAGCCTTGAAGAGACGACATGATGGTAGATAGTAATTAGTTCCACTCGAATTGAAACGATGGACAGATCACCTGAAGCGAAGCGAAAGACGTGAATTGCGATAATTGAAGTCTACGTTGAGTGTAATTGAGATTGTTATTGAATGTGTAATTGATTAGATTAAGTTTTAATTTATACTTCGGTAAAATTTTATTCATTCCGAGCCCCAGCGCGTAACAATACGTCGTAAATAAAGTTAATATTCACTGAAGGAAAATCTTTTGTAGCTATTGGCTACATAGCTTAGCTAAATAGACGAAATCTCATAAAAAAAATCCGCCTACCTACTTGAAAATTTTGTATGGAAACAAATTCGTAACAATATCCACCGATATCAAACAAACAAGTTCTGGTTTTTTCCACTTATTCCAATCGTAACCCATAACAATTGATTTACTGAGGAAGTATACAGGCATTTCGCCAACAAAAAAAAGTACTGAGTAATACAGAACAGACGTTTGTTTTTATCTTTCTAACTAGCTGACCCGGCAGACTTCGTAGTGCCTCAATCGATAAATAAAAGACACATCAAGTGGACACATCAAAGGAAAAACAAAATTGTTTGTTTTTATGTAATTCCGAGCTTTTTTATATTTTCTCACCTCTTAAACCTTCCCTGAACTTCCACGAATAATTCAAGACCAAAATTAGCCAAATCGGTCCAGCCGTTCTCGAGTTTTAGCGAGACTAACGAACAGCAATTCATTTTTATATATAGAGATTGCTTAGATGGGTGGATGAGCTCACAGCCCAGCTCTAAGTGTTCAAAATTCCCGCCACAATATCCAGTTGAACCTGAATTTACTTCGAGTGACGTAATTTCGCTTCAAATAAAAAATGGGCTAATTAATCATTGATCGTGCATCAATACAATATTTTGAAGTCGTCGTGGCCTAAAGGATAAGACGTCCGGTGCATTCGTATGTAGCGATGCACCGGCGTTCGAATCCCGCAGGCGGGTACCAATTTTTCTAATGAAATACGTACTCAACAAATGTTCACGATTGATTTCCACGGTGAAGGAATAACATCGTGTTATAAAAGTGATACCCGCAAAATTATAATTTGCGTAATTACTGGTGGTAGGACCTCTTGTCAGTCCGCATAGGTAGGTACCACGTCGTGCGCGGTGTTCCACAGGGGTCGGTGCTCGGCCCCCTTTTGTGGAATATCGGGTATGACTGGGTGCTGAGAGGTGCCCTCCTCCCGGGCCTGAGCGTAATATGTTACGCGGACGACACGTTGGTCGTGGCCCGGGGGGGGAGTTTTGCTGAGTCTGCCCGTCTTGCTACGGCTGGGGTGGCGCATGTCGTCGGCAAAATTAGGNGGGAGAGATGTGCTCCGCACTAAACGCTTCACTTTCCCCCCTTTGCCTTGTCATGAGTTCTGTCTCATGCGAGGTTTGGACGTTGGTTGTTGAGCGACAGGAGGTTTTAGTCAGTTCGACTCTGACATACCCCGCCCAGTATCCCCAGAAAAGGGCGGAAGTCCGGCGATTTCCTCCTGACCAAAAAAAAAAAAAAAGGTAGGTACCACCACCCCGCTTATTTCTGCCGTGAAGCAGTAATACGTTTCAGTTTAAAGGCTGGGGTAGCCGTTATAACTATACTGAGACCTTAGAACTTATATCTCAAGGTGGGTGGCGCATTTACATTGTAGATGCCTATGGCCTTCAGTAACCACTTAACACCAGGTGGGCTGTGGGCTCGTTCACGCGCCTAAGCAATAAAAAAAACAATACAAATATTATATCGTAAGGCACATTTCTCATTTTTTTTACATCGTCTCCTCGTTACTCTACAGACTTCTTCCAATCATTATTTCATATCTCTAACCCATCCAAATAGTACTCGGTGTTCTTCTCTGTCCTAAGCACGTAATTACGGATCCTTCCGATCCATTAACGGTGCTTTTAGGTACCTCAAGCACCGGTCACTATCCACGCCGAACCCGTCGCTTGGGACGAAGGGCTCCATGAGTAAATTATCTCATAGACAGAGCCCACAGAATTTCTCGTCGGATCTTCTCAGTGGGTCGAGTTTCCGTTCTGGTGGCAGATTCTACGAAGCACTGCTCTTGCTAGGGCCAGTGTTAGCAACATCTTCTGTTTGAGCCCCGAAAGCTCACCAACATGCCAGGGCAACGCTGATATAGGCTATCGAGCCTATCAGCATAGGTGGAGAAAAAGGAAAAAAAAAGAAAAAGTTCTTCTCTGCAAAATAATTGTTCACGAAGATGATTGTCTCTTCATTTGACGGAAATCTGTCGTCCGAACGCAGTTTTTAGATGTGGGAACAAAAAGAAGTAGCTTAGGGATTTAATCTGGTGAGTTAGGCAGACGGTTAAGCAATTCAAGCTATAATTTGCGGACTCTCGGCATGTTAATCGCTTAGGTTTGAGGCGGCGCGATGTCTTGGTGAAACAGGATTTTCTTTCTCTGCGAATATAGCCCATTTTTCGTAATTTCTACCAAATTCAAATTCAAATTCGAAATCATTTATTTCAACTTAGATGTCAGTATGACACACTTGTTGAATGTCAAAATATAAATAACAATGTTAACTCTACCACCGGTTCCAAAAAAAGCCACAGTCCTGAGAAGAACCGGCGAAACAAACTCAGTAATGATGCTAGTAGTACATGCTTCTGTATTGATTTTTCCTTTTCGAAGATAATCGATTAAGATAATCGGTCACGGCATTTCCAAAAAACAGTCACCATCACTATCCCAGCCGAAATAGCAGATTTTACTTTTTTGGAAGGCGGTCCTCTCTTTGCAGTCCAGTGTTTTGAATGTATTTTTGTTTCGGCCGTATAATGGTATCCAAGTTTCATCTCCTGTAATTAATCGGTGTCAGAACTCGCATTCGTTCACTTTCTGATGCTACCTTACGAAATAAAGTATCTTACTTACTTTCGTATCAATACTAGTTTTAGGTCGTCGTGAACATCTACATTCCTCACATACCACGGTGCTCCAATCCTCCAGATACGGGATTGGATACGGGCCGCGTCAGCGAACACTACACTTGCATAGGTTCCGTAATAACCTACACTACTCCTACACCTACACTTGCATAGGTCATTACGGAACCTATGCAAGTTTTGTATAGTGTCATCTGGTTACGAAGGGACAATTTACTTCTTTTTTTATTTTATTTTTATTACGTAGATGTGTGGACGAGCTCACAGCCCACCTGGTGTTAAGTGATTACTGGAAACCATAGACATCTACAACGTAAATGCGCCACACACCTTGAGATATAAGTTCTAAGGTCTCAGTATAGTTACAACGGCTGCCCCACCCTTCAAACCGAAACGCATTACTGCTTCACGGCAGAAATAGGCGGGGCGGTGGTACCTACCCGTGCGGACTCACAAGAGGTCCTACCACCAGTAATTACGCAAATTATAATTTTGCGGGTTTGANAACGTAAATGCGCCACACACCTTGAGATATAAGTTCTAAGGTCTCAGTATAGTTACAACGGCTGCCCCACCCTTCAAACCGAAACGCATTACTGCTTCACGGCAGAAATAGGCGGGGCGGTGGTACCTACCCGTGCGGACTCACAAGAGGTCCTACCACCAGTAATTACGCAAATTATAATTTTGCGGGTTTGATTTTTTTTTTTATTGCCTTTGTAGGCAGACGGGCATACGGCCCACCTGATGGTGAGTGGTTACCGTCGCCCATGGACTTCAGCAATGCCAGGGGCAGAGCCAAGCCGCTGCCTACCGCTTAATACTCTCCATAAGCCTCGTTTGAAGAAGGACATGTCATGGCGCTCGGGAAACACCGTGGAGGGGAGCTCATTCCATAGCCGGATGGTACGTGGCAAGAAAGAT